CCCCTTCTGCTCCATCGCCCCCACACTGCCCCTTTTCGTTCTACCGCCCCCCTGAAAAATGAAATCGCCCCCTGGGGGGCATTATCGCCCACGTTAAGAACCACTGTTCTAGGGCACAGTTCTAAGAAGGCCTCGAGAATCAGCCCATATTCAGACATCTGACTCCTGTTCTTTTTGCAAACACAGCTTGAAAGACAAGAGGCTCTCCTTCATTCCACGAGATGATCTTGGAAGGGATCTCTTCAGAGAATGGTGCAGTACCAAGTTTCTTCCTGCGGAGGTTCCTGTGGGTGGGAAGGAAGCAAAGACCACACCTATGGAACCAGGCATGTGAGGGACTAAAGTACATTATCATCTATATATAGCACTGGCTGGCTAGCGGAATGCACTGGAGGACTGGGGTTAGGGGTTTGACTCTTCTCTCTGCCTCCCAGGAGAAAAGCCAGCCTGGGTAGCCTTGGGCAAGCTGCACCATCTCAAGGCTGCCCCCTGGAAAAAGGGGAAGACTAAAACTGCTTGTCGGTACTCCATCCTTGGGGTCACCTTAACTTGGAATTGATTTGAGAGGAGGTAATTATTATCCTTCTTATAGTGCTCGTATAAGGGATGGAGAGATTAAAGCCGGCACAACCATCTCTTTCTCATGTTGATTCCCCTAACAATGACACCCTTGCTCAAAGCTGCCAGAAGGAACAAGAACCAAGGAACCTTGCTTAGCTAAATATGGATGGTCCACTTCTCCTGCCATCTAGAAGCTTCCGGAATACAGGGTGCCTCGCATTACGACGTTAATTCGTTCCAGCGAAATCGCTGTAGAACGAAAACATTGTAAAGCAAAATTAAAAAGCCCATTGAAACGCATTGAAACCCCTTCAATGCGTTCCAATGGGCTGGAAACTCACTGTCCAGCGAAGATCCTCCATAGGCAGCCATTTTCGGTGACTGTCTTGCGAGGAATCCATCCCTAAACACAGTGGGGAGCCATTTTAATTACCCAGCGGCCATTTTAAAACCGCTGATCAGCTGTTAGAAAATCATCGTTTTGCGAAGAATCGCCTCCCGAAACAGGGAACTGATCATCACAAAGCGAAACAAGCCCATTTAGATCATCCCAGTACGATACCTCTGGGACGGCATGAAAACTCATGCTGTGACAATCACATGTCTTTCAGCCCTTGAAGGATCTACTCGTCTCAAGATGGGTTGCCTGTAATGTAGTTTGGCCCTTAGAAGCACACCAGACACTACATGCAATGATGCTGTGTGGATCAAGACAACAACTAAAATTCTGCGGCAAAGAAATAAAAGCGGAAGCAAACAATCACAGGGAACAGGCTGTCTCGGGAGATTTCTGTATGTGAACACTTCCAGCGTGGTTCCTGGGACTCGGACGTTTGGCTCCTATTGTCTCTTTGGTGCTCCGTCCTCACCAGGGAGATTTAGGTTCTTATCAGGCAACCCATAATAAATTAATCTTGTGCTGTGAGTCATTAGCCACCACTACTTGCCCTGCATTACCCTCCCTACACACCTCCTCAGGCAGAATGTGAACATACCTCATGGCGGATAAATGACCCAGAGTGCAACTGAAGTCTGTCACTTGAAGTCTGTAATATATAAAAAAATGATTTTGCTTATATAGCAGAGTGTGTAGCTTCATTTCACCACAACACCCTTTGGGTCTTCAGTGAGCCTTGTGCTTAAACTGCAATACTGCACTGAAGACTCTGCTCATAAGCTAAGTTTGACCCAGAAGGGCTCAGGTAGACAGCACAAGCCTTCCTTCCTTCTGAGATCAGTAAATTGGGAAACCTGCCTTTTGTGGGGGCAGGGGCAATGTGTAGCCCCCATAATTAAACTGTAAGCCATCCAGCGCTGTGGGGTGATATATAAGCAGCACACTTTGCTTTTTTTCTTTTTGGTTAATATTTTTAGGAAGGGTTTGGGTGGCTGAAGGGAAGACTACGTTGGCAAGCAATATAGGATTCAGTCTGGAATCAGGATGGTCAGATTTGTAGTATTTTCTGTTGACCAAATGATGTACAAGTCAATGTGAATCAGCCCAGAGCTTATGCCCACAATCCAAATCTTTTACCTCGGCCACTGGGGCTTCTACTATTTTTGAAGCGAATGCATTCACATCAGTTCAGTTGGTGTGACTGCTTGAGTTGATGCAGGAAAGTATCTGCCGGCCTGCTGCTAGTTGGCAGGGTGAGTAGAGAGACAGCAAAGGGACACTTGTGGATGTCAACTGAGCACCCCTTTAAAGGAATCAAACTACAAGGCATTGGGATGATCCAGCCAATGAGACGTTGGATCTTTGCTTATAGTGCTAATAATGCTATTGTTTTTAAAGCTTGGTACCACCACTGCAAAAAAAAAAAGTTGTGATAGAGCACTTCAGAGAGCAAAAAGAAACAGTGGAAGAGAGATGAGGAAATTGGCAGTCAACCCTTGTTTGCAGCTTGTTAAGGTAGCTCTGCTGTAGCTGTGCCTCCTGCAAATCTGGACAGCTACAGCGGAAGCTGCTTTAACAAGGGCTGGTTGCCAATTTCCTCTTATCTCTCTGCCAACTCCTGTCTCATCAGCTAAAACAAATTCACCCAGACAGTCACAAATTCCCGAGTGTGAGTTCCCAGCAGATCTACTCATATTTTAACTCAGTCCGTGAAAGGGAGGGAGGGTCTAGTAGATACAGAAAGGCAAGACAGCACAGGCTGGGTCCCATGGCAGGAATGTTCAGGTTAAGCCAAACACTCCACTTTTGCAAATGGAAATTTCACCACCCACCCCATCCCACACCGGGAAGTGTTCTCCACTAATCTGGTGGCAGAAGCCGTCCATCCTCACTGGAACATCCCAATAAGCCACTGGACGCCCATCGAAAGTCGTGCAACATATCTGTTGAGAACAGATTGCAGCTTCTTGAGCGACCAGATCCCAGCAACCTTCTCCGACATTCCCAGTTGGATCAGCCGGGTCCAGGATGACAGGTCTGAAATCCCAAAATGGAAACAGGTGGTGATAAGGTGGGTGAGACTTCATTCAAGACTCGCAAAAGTATTCCAAATGAGCCTCCCTTCTCCCAAGGATTGAATGGAAAGCTATTTATCTGACTTTGTAAGACTTTGAAGAACTTTGTACACTAAGGTCCCGGATAAGTCACAGCCCAATATTTAGCGCACTGTACTCTTCCTTAGTGGCCTGACCTTCTATCCACCTCCTATACGTATCTTTTTTGTTTGTTTGTTTGTTTTGAGGTCCTCCCTAAGCTTTCTGTGAAGCCATGCCTGCCTCTTTTTTTTAACTGCCTCTCACATATTTTTCTTCTTGGAATTGTTTGTAGCTGTGCATTTAGATTTTTTTTAAACTCCCACCCTTTCTGGACTCCTTTTCTTGTTAGGATCTCCTAGCACGGGACCTTACTCGTCCTTGGTCATGAGATTCTTAAAACTGGCTTTTTTTAAAAAAATCCAGCAGACGTGCGTGGCTACACTCTGCTTGGGGTTTCCTTTGAAATGAAGAATCCTAGGAGAACATGGTCCCGCTCGCCCAGAGTTCCCCTTCCTGCCCCTTCCTCCAAGTCATCTCTGTGGGTCAGAATCAAGGCAAGGATAGCTAGTCTTCTAGTTTCTTTCCCCACTTTTTGGTAGGAGAAAAATTAGATCAGTGACAGGAGAACTAGGGTGGTTTAAAAAGTATCCCAATTTTAGCCATGGTGGTTTTGGGACAGGGTCCAGGAAAGGCATAGGAGACTCACCGGGGTTTCTGGAGCTGGTTGCGCAGGTATCGTCCGAGGGTCTCATCCTGAAAGTCGTAGTTGATAGTCCAAAATATGCAGAGCTGCCGGTACTGCTGGATGAGCCAAAGCACCGTCCGGAACCCTTCTGCCATGTCGAAATCCGTCTTTTGGCTCCCTCGTTCCCAAGCATAGACAGCCAGTAGCTCCAGGGCATATTTGGGAGGCAAGGACTTCCCACGTTGGAGCTGCGACTTATACGGATAGATATGCTAGGAACAACACCAGATGAAACAGGTTATCTCTGTAAAATTTAGGGGATTCAGAAATGATACAAAATTCGATGGAATAGCTCATATCCTGGAAACCAAATTTTTAAAAAATCTGGATAGACGCGGACACTAGGCTGAAAATAAGAGAATAACATTTTATATGGATAAGTGCAAAGTTCTGCACTTGTGGGGGGGATCAAATGCATAGTTACAAGATAAAGGATAGTTGGGATAAAGGATAGTTGGGGATACTTTGCTCAGTAATACTACGAGCAAGAAAGATCTTGGAACCATTGTCAATCACAAGCTGAATATGAGCCAACCCTATGACGCAGCTGCAAAAAAGGCCAATGTGATTTTAGGCTCCATTAACAGAAGTCTAGTCTCCGAATCCTATGAGGTACCTGTGGTCCTCTATTTGGCCCCTGGTTAGGCTTTATCCTGAGTCCAGTTCTGGACACCACCCTTGAAGAAGGATGCTGACATACTGGAACCAGTTCAGAGGAGGACAACCAGGACGATCAGGGGACTTTATCGTGGATTCCTGTCCTGAGCAAGGGTTTCAGCTCCATGGCCTTAAGAGTCCCGTTCCAGACTCCATGATTCTAGGATTCTATGAAACGAAGGGAAATGGGCTCCTTCTTCAGTGGCAAGGACGACTTGCTTTGATGTTTAAGGAAACGGAGAGAGTAGACCTTTGGTCTAGATGGGCGGGATAGAAATCCAATAAATAAATAAATGTGTATTAGAACAAACAGAAAGGTGAAAGGATCAGGGATTACTGGGTACAGTCCACTGATAATCACGGATCTCTCTTTATTAGATTAGTTTACTTTATTACGGTCAATGACTAATATCCAAAATACATATTTGTAAAATACACAATATCGAAAAAGCATATATAAATATCTCTGTATTGGGTGGCCATCATATGTTGACCAACAGGACAAATCATGGAAGTGTTGTTGTAGGGAGGGGAACGTTACCGATCTCTGCCTCCCTCCCTGGCTTTTGTGGCTAAAGGCAAAGGTGTTTAAATATATGCGGCCCACGCAATATTTGGTTATTCTGCATCATAGGCCAGGCTTCCTCTCCCACACATGCCTTGCTTTGCCATTGTTACACACTGGCTGGAATCCTGTTGCTTTGCATAATAAGTGACACTAGAGTAGGCCCATTGAATCAGTGGGGATTTAGTGAATCCACCCCTCTTTAGTTTCTGTAGATTCAGAAGAGCCTACAGCCCTGAAACCTCAGGCAAGGGGAACTTGTTGACGGTGGAACTTGAACCCCAAACAGATTTCAAGATGCCATACCTCTTTGTACCAGTATTTCACCAGGCGGATGAGACTCTTCAGCTTGGTGGGGTGCTTAACGACAAAATCTCTCTGCAGCTCCGTGAAGCAAGGGGAGAACTCACCCCCACGGGAGCTGATCTGGATCAGGTCGATGTACACCTGGGGGTCGGGTCGCTCACCTTTTCTGTGCTGGCCTGTTGTGCACAACAATGGATCACAGATCAATGGAGAACAGGCAAAACAGAGGGGCTTCACTACATGGGCATTTGTCCCACTGTTTGGTTCTCTAGGGGCACAAGGCTGATTTGCTCCTCTTGCAGGTGGCCAGAAGAGGCAAGAGCCAATATGAACCAACCCCTCCCCAGGGCCTTCCTACCCATACTTTGCTGCTCCTTCTCAGGCGCTACCGTTTGGTTAGTTCAGCTTGAGTCTCTCTTTTGGTTTGTTTCCAGCACATGCAGTCATTGGGAACAAACCAAAGCACAGCACGACCAAAGTTCCCATCTGGTTTCAGTTTCTATTAAACGTAGCCACTTAACAGTACTGGGAAATTAAACACATTCTCTGCTTCTCTGTAGAAGGATAGAGGGGGGAATCAAAGGGTTTTGTTTAAAGCTTAGGGATGTCCTGTTCTTTTTATAACTTTTTTTAAAAATTGAAAGTTTGCCCCCAGAAAGTAGAAGAGAGGAGAGAGGGGTTTCTTTTTTGTTTCTGTTTTTTTCCCTTCTTTTCTTAAGAGAGGCAAGTCAAAAGGAGAACAATGTCACCAGGTCCACCATCCCCATGACGGGATGACAATTCACCGTCCTTGTAAGCCAGGGCCTTACCGAGAGCATCATACGCTGGTAACACATCAAATTCAGTGGATTCCTCGCCATCCCAAGAGTAAAAGGTGAAACTCAGCACACGCGGATTAGGCCATGGTGTTGGTTCAATCTCCACCTGCATGCCTTTCTGTTTGACACATTCCTCAAGCTTCTTCCTAATCTCCCCAATGATCTCCTTCCGGTCTTTTTCTTGGTCTGAGTAACTTTTGAAGACATTGAGAAAGACCACCAGGTCAGCATCAGAAGCCCCTTTCAGAGCTGTGCCTTTTCCGGACGAACCGCCCTACGAAGAAAAAGCAAAAAAGCAAAAGCGTGCTGCTTATATACAGCCCCATAGCGCTACAAGCACTCTCCGGGCGGTTTACAATTTAATTATGCAGGCTACACATTGCCCCCCCCCAGCAAGCTGGGTACCCATTTTACCGACCTCGGAAGGATAGAAGGCTGAGTCAACCTTGAGCCGGCTACCTGGGATTGAACCCCAGGTCGTGAGCACAGTTTTGGCTGCAGTCCAGCAGTTTAACCACTGCGCCACGAGGCGCAATACTTGGGGATGTTGGCAAGTCTTTGGGTTTGAGTCTTTGCTACCAAGTCCCAAGTCCAAGTCCCTATTAAAACAAGTTGTTTCCCCCCCCAGAAAAACAAGTTCCAAGTCTCAAGAGTCAAGTCCAAGTCATTGGAGGGGGGGGGGAGGGAAACAATGACAAAAGTCATTGCAACTTAAGACTGACTTGACGGCTTGTCTGGCAACTCAAATCTCCTTCCCCACAAATGCATCACTTATAGTCTGTTTATCCTGTTTGCTTGAACCGGACAATCCCATGGCCCCGTAAGTATTTAAAAAAAAACAAGAAAAGGTGGATAGGTACAATAAAGGCTGCTAGGATGGGTTCTTGTTGGGATCTGGGACTGGATGATTCACAACGGCCTGTACATCGTTTGATCACTGGGAAAAGAAGCAAAGCTTCCTATTCCCAAAGCGAACCCAACCACAAGACAAATCCCCAGCCCAAACCAAGAAGGGGAAGGACAGGCTTTGAAGGTGGCCTCTCCTGGACCTCTCGTTCACACCACCTCTCTCTGAGCTGGCTCAGGGGAATTCTGGATGGCTTCGGTTGTGTTGTGCACAACAATGAATCAATGGGTCACAGATCAATGGAGAACAAGGAAAACAGAGGGGCTGGCTACATGGGCTTTTGTCCCACTGTTTGGTTCTCTAGGGGGACAGATGCTTCCCTTTCCATCCATCACCCCCTGCTTGACCTCTGGCCATTTCTGGTCACACCTGCATCGCCCCAGTGCTCACCTTTACGACCTTCAACACCTTGGTCTGGGGAGGGGGAGAATCTCGGAAGCAGTTCTCCTTCAGAAAAGAACAGATGGTGTCCACGTCCCTGGAGACCCGATCCAAAAAGTCCATGTTGGGCTGAAGAGAGTCATAAATGAACTTATCCAGATCCTTCGCTGGGGTGCTGTAGAGACTCATAACGCAGAGAGAAAAGAGGAGAGAACGCCACACTCTGACTGCTTTTCAAGGAAGTGAGATCACTTGGCAGTTTTATCCCAGACTCTGATAAGTTTTGTTTTCCTGCCCGGCTCAACTCTTTCGTTTCCTGCCCGTGACCCTCCCCTGAGCGTTGGCAGATCATTCCCTGACTAATGCTCGCAAACATGCTTAAGGGATCTGTGACATACGTAGATCCACCACAAAAGGGAAAAAGGCTTAAAAATGAGTGTCTCTTAATCCTTCTTGTCTTGCTGTTTTTCTGCCGAACTGCCCTCATTACCACCCACCTTGGTTTTTCCTTCCAGCCACGCCGATGGGCTTTGGACTCAAATTCCGTGGTAAATGCAAAATACGTTTGTTTTGTTTTGTGCTTTTTTTAAAAAAAAATAATGTCTTGGGAAGATCACACGACCCTCTAAAGCCCTACATGTGAATTTGGCAACTGGCAGGGAAACTTTCCAGGCTGAGTTAGAGTCG